GAGCGTGGGGTAGAGCACCGTTGGGGATTGTGACTTGGTCCGTCCCGATTGATGAAATTACTACGTATTTGACTGAAACTACTTGTTATCATCATAATTTGGGTTGATTGCCATGTTTGGGCTTCGTGCCAACTATGTGAATCCTTCAGGGATTGATATCACTGTTTTCGCATTACTTTGCATATTATTTGATCTCGGTCCAAGGTTTTAATACTCTTTTGCAAACTCAGCCATTTTTCTAAGATTTGAAAACTGAAACAATATTTTATTGACGTTTTGAGCTGAGAACTACCATGTTGTATTGCCCAAGTGGCTTATGTGCATTTCTGGACTGAGAATGGATCGGGCTGCGCGCCGCAGCAGTGTTACATGTGCATTTCTGGACTATGGATGGCTCGGGCTGCACGCCGCAGCGGTGTTACATTGATTTTGAGGCCGAGGGCCTGGTTGATGCCACGAGATGGCTTGATATTGCGCTTGGGCTGTAGGAGCCCCTCCGGAGTCTGTACACACCCCCAGTGAGCGCCGTCGACGTTAAATATGGATGGCCCGGGCTGCACGCCGCAGCGGTCATATGCATTGCATTGCACTCATGCACTGGTTCCTGTTTGTATTACGTGTCATGACATTCAGCACTCGCATTTCATTCGCTTCTATGCTACTTCTTGCACTGCTTACCTGATACCCTGGTGTTATTTGTTGATGGAGTGTTGTGCCCGAGGGGCTGACTTATGTGCTGACTTGCACTATCTGTTTCGCATTCATTTGCTTAACTGTTGAAAAAGACATTTTCAAAAGAGGTTTTAACTGAGCCCAGATAGATTTTCTAAAGGATTTCACGGTTTTACTGTTTTCTCAAAGGGTAGCACTGTTCTATATAGCATGATGGAGTGCCTTTCGTGATTTCTTGCCGCTCAGTTATTATTTACCTTTATTACTCACTGAGTTGGAGTACTCACTTTACTCCATGTACCTCGCGTGTAGATGCAGGTATTGGTTACCCGGTAGCGGGTTTGAGCTGGTTGAGGATTTGCTATCGTAGCTGAGCAAGGTGACCGCCGGCGTTCGCGGCACCGGACTTCGTCTTTTGATTCTAAACTTTATTCTGTATATTATTGACCCTGTGGTCGTGTCCAGACTTCCTTAGATGCTCGTGACTTGTGACACCCCGGTCGGGCTGTGTTGGGTCGTATATATATCGATTGTTATTGTCATTAAGTTGTATTTATCCAATCATTTATGTTTAAAAAATTTTGAAAGAGGCGTTGTTGTTCTGTTGGCTGGCCTTGTCTTCACGAGAGGCGCCATCACGACCGGGTTGGGAATTGGGTCGTGACACATGTTATGCACTGGGTTTATTAGATGATGACAAAGAGTATGTGGATGCCATAAAGGAGGCAAGTAACTGGGGAATGCCATCATATCTTAGGCAATTATTTGCTATGTTACTATTATCCAATTCAATGTCACGACCAGAATGTGTTTGGGAGGCAACATGGATTTTATTATCAGATGATATCTTACATGAAGAAAGAAGAATGTTGGATAATCCAGGTATACAATTCGACCTTCTACATAAGATTTTAATATTATAAAATTGTTAAATTTTACATTACTTGTGCATACAAATTAAATGTTACTCTATTCTACGATATACATTTATGCTTGCAAATTATGAGCGATTAATTATTAATATATTTTGTTGGAGACATAATCGATGTAGCCTTCAAACGAATTAAGGTTACATTAATTTGCTTTTATTATTTTCAAAGGAAATCATTTTGATGTTATCTTTATATGACTCATGGCAACTATATACTTTTATGATTAATTACTTAATTATATACTTTTGTTATTTTAGAGGATGAGCTAACAAACGATGAACTAAAGAATCGTTGTCTACAAAAGTTGGAAATTTTTTTAAAAGGTTGCGGAAGAACGTTATACGATTTTCCAACAATGCCAACACCGGTTTTCAATGAAGAGGAAATTGACAACACGAATAGACTAATCTGTGAAGAATTGCGTTATAAAAGGTGCTCTTTGTCTAAGGAACATGAAGAATTATTGGTTAAATTGATAATGGAGCAAAAGTTAATTTATGACAGAATTATCAAAGCAGTGCATGAGGACAAAGGTGGATTCTTCTTTTTATATGGTCATGGAGGAACCGGGAAGACATTTATTTGGAGAACTTTATCTTCTGCCATAAGATCTAAAGGAGATATTGTGTTAACAGTTGCATCCAGCGGAATTGCATCTCTTTTGTTACCAGGAGGCCGAACAGCTCATTCGAGATTTGCAATCCCACTCAATGCAACTGAAGATTCAACATGCAATATCAAACAAGGTACTCCTTTATCAAAATTGATTGTCAAGGCAAAGTTAATTATTTGGGATGAAGCACCAATGATGCATAGATATTGTTTTGAAGCTCTAGACAGAACTCTAAGAGATATTCTTAGATTTAAAGATGCAACCAATTTAGATCGTCCATTTGGAGGAAAAACCGTTGTTCTTGGTGGTGATTTTAGACAAATACTTCCAGTCATTCCAAAAGGTACTAGACAAGATATTGTTAATGCTACCCTTAATTCTTCATATTTGTGGAATCACTGTCAAGTCTTAAAGCTATCAAAAAATATGAGGTTGGAAGGAAATCAGGTGGATTCACATTTGAATGATCTAAGACAATTTTCTGATTGGATTTTAGCAATAGGTGATGGTATGCTTGGAAATTCTGTTGATGGTATCGATAAAGTTCACATCCCTGATGATCTTATCATAAATGATTGTGGTGATCCAATTTCTGCGATTGTGGAAACTACATATCCAGATTTTTTAAGTCATTGCAGTGATTTAACATACCTGCAACAAAGAGGAATTCTTGCTCCCACTCTTGACATGGTTGAATCAATCAACGAATACATGGTTTCACTAAACAAAAGTCAACCAAAAACATTTTTTAGTTCCGATACAATTTGCATGTCAGACGATGCTTTTACAGGTTTGGAACACGTACATACACCTGAATTCCTAAACACTATTAAGTGTTCTGGAATTCCAAATCATGTTATCACTTTGAAAGTGGGTGTCCCAGTGATGTTATTGAGAAATATAGACCCATCTTCAGGGCTATGTAATGGAACAAGATTAATCATCACTAGACTCGGAAATCGAGTTATTGAAGCAAAAATTTTATCGGGAAATATGGCTGGACAAAAGGTCTTCACTCCGAGAATGTCATTAGCTCCATCTGATGCAAGAATACCTTTTAAATTCCAACGAAGACAATTTTCAATAGTTGTATCCTTTGCAATGACGATAAACAAAAGTCAAGGACAATCTTTATCTCATGTTGGGTTATATTTGAAAAAATCGGTATTCACACATGGCCAGCTTTACGTTGCTCTATCACGGGTTACAAAAAGAAAGGGATTAAAGATTTTGGTTTATGACGATGATGGACAAATTTCAAATAAAGCAATAAATGTGGTTTACAAAGAGGTTTTCCGTAATTTACTTGGAGAATGATAGCAAATCTGATATATTTTCGGAACAATTTTGGTTGTCATGCTTCTGTCTTTGCTAAACCATATTGGAAATAATCTTCAGAAACAATAGTTGACAACTTCAATTGGTAAGCTTAACTTTTATCTCATCATCATTTGTTGTTACTATTTTCAGTTACTTTGAAGTATTAACTTCTTAATGTTTACATCTACTAACAAATAACTCGCAAAGATATATTTCTTCCAATAATATACGCTACTTCAATTCTATCCTTCCTAATGATGTCATTTGATTTCAAGTTTTTTTAGCGCTTATGCAAAATATGGCTACTCACATTTTTTCCATTAAGGATATAACAATTTCGAGGATGCAACAGATGTTTAAATGTCGAGTTGTTCGTCTATGGGAAGCCCTGGATTGTTACAATTCATACACTTATTTCTCCTTTGAATTGGTTCTACAAGATGAAAAGGTATTACAAATCAATTTCTTTTACTTACAACTATTTTGCATCTTTAATTTTAAATAGCAAATTCTGCAATTGTTGTTATGCTGGTCACGAATTTTTAAACCTACTTTCTTGATTGGTTGTAGAATATTTCAATATACTACAACAATTCACTTTTGGTTCTTCCAATATTTGGATTAATAGTTAAAATATATAACGGACATAATCTGGATACTTATATAATCTTTAACGACTTCTTTACTTAGCTAAAGGAGTTTAAGTGTAATTTCTTGCTCTCCCATCTTTGTAAAGAAATGAATTATTTTTGCACTTTCTCGGTACTATTCACTAAAGGTACTTCTTTGCTTATCAAACTGAAAAGGATGATGGCTTTTCTCAGTATACTAATTTTACTGTTTTTTTTCTGTTTCTTTGGAAAATACTCTCAATTTATTTTGACACTTGCTTTTTTTACCAATTTGTTTAAGTAGATATCCTCTTTTTATTTAAAAACTGTATTTTCTATGGCTTGCATTAATTATGTTTTCCGCAATATTAATAAATAATTATCTCACAAAGTTGTCTCATAAGAAGTTGTATTTTAATTATTCTGTCATGCTAAATTCTCTTTAAAATATACATTCTCTTCAAGGGACCTACATCAAATTCTGAATCAAATTATAGTTAGTTGAACTGGTCTACTGCTTCAACATTTACCGAAAAAGGAATGATAAACGGTTATAAATCTGCCATAATAACAGCTCAGGTTAGTTAAAAGTTCGAAACTTTCTCATCGGATTACATGCTATGTCCACGTTTTCTTTATTTTTTCTGAGAATGTAACCTTCTATTTCTATTTTGATACTTACCCATTCTCTCTTTGTCGCTGTGTTTTTTCTTTTGTTCAGTTTCTTAATATTATTATTTCCTTTCATTGCTTCAGTGATTTGCACCTTTGCACATGTTGTCCGTCTTTATTCCACTTATTACTTATGCTTTTACATTAATTGAATCCTGTTAACTTTTTGCCTATTTCTCTAATTTATGCCTTCTTTATAATCTCTACCTATTTTTATGGAAATAATATTGAAAATACCAAATTCTATTATTACCAGAGATAAAATATCAAAAATGTCGTTCTCCGTAGTTAAGTTATGATTTGTTCGTTCTAACTTCACCTATATTTATCTATTCAATGTGATTTCTTTTTAGGCGATCGGATACAATCTTCTATTGGCATGTCCGTGCTGCTTCATTTGAAAACACAACGTAATTACTTTGGATTATATGTTATAGTGAACTTTAGCGTTTGTCAAAAAAAATACAACTTCATAACAACACAAAATTAACTTAAGCCTCACATTTAATCAGCGAACAACCTTGACCGATCTTCCACTACAAAACTACATCCTACATTATTTTTCTTTATTTTTTTTAATGTGGCTTCTGGTAATGTCGTTGATAGTGCAGCAAACAGAATGGGCCATTGTCAACTCACGTTCATTCTTCACCTTTTCAATAACTTGCTTTACCCCATGTTGCCCCTTTCCAGCCAGACCATACACATATGCTCGACCAATTTGGAGGTATATTGTTTTGGATTACAGAAAAGGGAAAATCTAATGATTAACAAACTAGAAAAGTTTAGGTAAGAACTTTCAAATTAGTTTACTACAACAGCTTTTGCGCCAAGTGGTAAGGCCTTCAATATGTCTGTTCCTCGCCTCACTCCTGCATGAAATATAACTGGAACTTTATCTTCAACAGCATGTAAAACCTTAAGCCATTGAAGATTAAGAACAATTATGTGATTCCCATTGTGTTTCAAATCCAAATTTTGCTTACATATGCAAATGTTTAGAGTTGTGAATTTTAAAGAAATAGGACCAAATCCCTCCATCCAAAATAGTCTATTTTATTAATTCTGATGACATATATGACTCTTGCACGACTACCTTGATATTAAAGGGAAATCACATATTAATACATGTATAAACACATTGTAGTAGGCTTCTCTGTTTCAGAATAGAGTCAATCTATCTTCTCTTAACAGCAGAGTGTTAGAAGTTATTTTTTGTCAATGTGAGCAGTAACCTTAATTTTATTGTGTGGCTGCTACAAAATTTACTCCTTACTTGAGATATCTTTGCATCAGTTTGGTATCTTTAAAAATTTACTTCTATATTTGATATAATGGTTAGACGATAGCTTGATTTGGCATATCATAGAGAATAAGGATTGGGAGTTATGCATTTGCATAAGTAATTACATGTATGCAATATTATTATTTTCACATCAACGAAAGTAATTACCTGTGTCATTAGGTATTTAGTTTTGGTATTTTTATTTATGAGCTGGAAGTAGCAGTGTTTTGGAATTTTTTAGAAGATGTTTTGGGCTTGGTTTATGTGTGTTTTCATGGATATTTGCAGGTTGTTTTTCTGCTGCGTTTTGGAAGGATTTAACTGCATTTTTGGATGATTTTCAGAACTTACGGGGGCTGTTTTCAATTTTTTAATGCTGCCATTTCACGATTACGCTTATTGCCAAAGAAAACAATGGCTTAACATCTTGATGAAAATACTAAAGCACCTGTTAAACAAAGCTAAACGCTCAACGTGTTTTGAGCCTCGCTTTAGGCCTTTAGCGCGCCTTTGATAACTTTAGTCTTATGGTGGTCTCTGTTTTTGGTTTGACACATCCTACCCTATCTGCCGCCCGAAATTTATGTACCACAGCTTATATAGATACTTCTCTTTGGATATTATGTAATGTGTTTCTGCTTCTGTTTATGAGAGCGTCTTATTATTTCTGATTGAGCACAACTTCTGCGTCATAATAAACAATTTGCTGCTACATCTCCATCTTCCACATTTTGAATTATACTATAAGATGGCACACCATCAATAACTTCATACAATTTGTGCAGTTTAAATTTATTATGTTAATGTTTTATTATCGGCATTCTATGTTTCCTCTCAATAGCTGTGGTAATCATGTTTGGACAACAGTAAAGACGTTAAGATTGACTGCTTCATTAGCTTGTCTTAGCTTCTCCAGTTTTATGATCTACACATCTCTCCTCTCACTAATAAGGAACTCAAGTTTCATGTTGAGTATTAACAATTAAAAGGAGATGGTAGGGACTATCCGAATGCAAAAAGGGCTGCACAACAGTTGGTAGAAGCTTCAGTACAAGATCAAAGTATTGGGCAGAATAATTTATTACAGTTGCAAGCTGGTGATCAACAAGCTGCTGCTGATGCTAATATCCCTGATGGTGCACAGTTTCTCAACAATTATGCAATCTCAAAGAATTTTGCTATTGTTCCTGTCGATAGAAGTGATGCTACTAACCACTTCCCCACGTTTTCAACCCTCTACTTCACACCTCCCTTCAAAATTCCTCCCCACTTACCCACTATAACCACTTTCCCACTATAGTAATCCCATGATATTATAAAAGCACATAATAAGGGAGGATTTAAAACAAAAAAATTCAGAGAACAACGAAATCAGAGGTTCTTCCAACAATATTACGTTCAAAAAAATATTCAGCAAAATCAACATAGCCTCAAGTGTGTAAATTTTTTCCCGATAACAACGGTATGAAATATATGATTTGTACCTTAGCAGAAGTTCAAAGAAAAGTTTATCACTTCCGCAGTTAGAGCAAGAAGTTTCTACAACATTTTAGTATTTTTAGTTTGTTCTATTAGCGTATGTATAACATATTTCAAAGTCAGACATGAGTATACACATTCTATTCACATTTAATTATGTTGGTTGATGAAGTTTTGTGGCGATATGTCAACATATAGACCTTCTGTTTTTTATCTAATTCATTCGAATCCGGTATGGTCTTTTTCAAATAACTATTTTTTCTATTTGTTGGTTACCGAGTATCTATTTGGTATAACAGTTTTGGAATAACTGTTTTTTTGCTTTCACTACTGTTTTTTTATTGCAATATAGTATAGTATCATGGAAATGAATATACAAAATTCTATATCTACTACAGAGCAACTTTCAAAATAATATGCATGTACTATGTTATCACATTGACATGTTGTAGCTATTCTTATTCTTTCTTTAGTCCTATTTCAGATATGGATGAACAAGGACACGTTCAAATTACTCCAACTACGACTGCTCAAATTCAACAAAGGGTACAACGTCGAAGGGTACGCCGTCGCAGCATTTTTTCCTATAATGCTTCTGACTCAAAGCCTGAAATTATCAGGAATATCCCAAGGTCGATACAAAATAAGTTAAGAGATCGAAGGGCTGAACGAAGGGAAAGAGAAAAGAAATTTACAGAGCTTAGGCCTGCACTAGATGAACATATTGCAAATTATCAGCTTACTCGAGATGCACTAATTGATGCTATAGACAAAATTATACTATATGATTGGGAAGCCTTATCAATTTTAGTAGATTCACTTGGACAACCTTTAGGTAGTATTTTAACTGATATTTATCACGAGGTTTGGCCAAGTGAACCTTTTTGGGTTTATGTTGTTAAATTTGAAGCTGAGTGGGAGAATCGTCTCTACGACTACCTGTAATTTTTTAAATTAATCAAAGTTTTTTATTTCTTTGAAACATTACCTGTCATTTAACTCTTTTTTTTTTCTTAACAGCATTACATAACATAAATAACATAATGGAATAACACTAACTTATTCCTTCAAATAATGCAATTTTAACGACATATCAAATGTCTTAAAAGAGATGAATACACACATTACTTTACGCTATTTACTTGATTATATGTAATTCTCATGTATAGTAATACTTTACAATCTGTTTTGCCTCTTTTCAAATCAAAAATTAATGACAAATCTATATATATTTAGGTCATTAAAAATATGAATTCATCCAAAGTAGACTTGCAGTACAGTATATCTTTATAAATGAAAATTCAAACTTCACTTATGTTCCTTTCGGTAAGTTTAAACTATTAATATATATTTATATTGTTCATCCAAGGCAATTGTTCGGGAAGTATCATAGAAAATTAATATGGCAGCAACTATGTTATGATTGAAATATTCACATAAAGTTTACTCACTCTGTTAAGCAAGTAAGTTAATAATTTATTATCTTTTTTTCTACGTATTTTCCGCGCATCACGCGGGTACTATACTAGTGTAAAGTTAATAGGAAAGACCAAACATGTCAATGTGGAAAACGAGTTATACTTGTTCCCCATATATAAACAATTATCACATTTCCTTCTCTCTCTTTACATGTAACAATATGAGGAATACTTTAGTAGACCCCTATGCCTACAGTAAAATCAAAAGAGAATGCTTTCCGCTGTCAGAAACCAATAGTTACTCTTTAGGAAAGGAGAGTAAGATTTAAATTTCAATCGTGACAATAAATATTACTATAGCAAATGTGCTGGTGAAATATAACTAGTAACTGGAGTAGTACGTGTGTGCTGAAAAATATTTTATATGTATAAAATATAAAATAATCTTGTAAATTACTTTTATTGTATAAGTTTTCGTGATGCATCAATTATTAACATTTAAATATGAAATATAATTAATTATATTGGAAATCCACTAATTTTTTTGTTAGTTTCGATATTAAAAGGCACAAATTACACTCGACATAGCAAGTAAAAACGTACTACGTACAACAGAAAAATAACAATGAAAATGTTGGTATTGAGGATTGAAAAGTAAGAGCACAAAAGAAAACATATTCCTATTTGAGGAGAATTTTTTTAACTTAATGTATAGTAGGAAACTAGTCATTTTCATAAAATGACTAAATAGATTCTTTCTGCAAAGCTATGAATAGTATCATGAATAATAGATGCCTATTTATCATTAGATCGAGAATCGAGTCATAGTATGCTACAAAAACTATAGGAATCAGTAATATACATAAAACATCATTTTTTTATTCCTTTGTTTCACTAAGAAATCTCCTAAAAGCAAAAGAACAATTAAAACCCATCTCATTTAGATTAGCCTTATAGAAGAAAAATAAAGACAATTGAAAAATTGAGTAATTGCCTAGTTAAGGATCTTTTGCTTCTTTTTTGTTCCTCACCATATGCTACATTGGGTCTCGATTAATTCAGATTCCCGATGTCTGATGCTCATTAAAGGAAAAAACGCTTTCTATCAAGATTTTTTTCATTAAAAAGAGTTCGAATTCTAAACCTATACCTAAGGGTGGAAGGTTCACCGCAACACTAGGAGGTAGGTGATTTTTTTTTCTTTGCAAAATATGAGATAATTAACTACAAAATTTTCATTCATTTAATAAACCTTTACAAAACTAACTTAATTATATACCAACCAAGTTAAAAAGATCTTTTCAATAAATTGAATAAATCAAAATGAGAATAGCCACTTAACGGTAACACTATCGTCATATAATGATTAATTACGTTACCATTTTACTTTTGGCTTTCTTTCAAGGCTAATTTCCTCTAAAAAGTATCATCTTACTTTTTTGTTTTTACAGAATCGATATTTTCAATTCAGTAGTCTCATTAATTTGGATTCGCACAATAAAAACACAATATGAGAGGTTTTAATCATCCTTACCAATAATAATTTAGTTTAGGACTCGAATCCCAGACCTTTAATTAAAAAATAGTAAAACTTTTACTATTTCATCATACAATAATGCTTCAATTTCAAATGCCGCTATCACATGACGCCTTATCTTTTGGCATACTATAATAATACTCATAGAGTGCAGGGAGATTAGAAAGGGTTTTAGACTTGTAGATTACGCAGTTGAACACGTTATAATAACTTAGACATGCAAAATGTATTTCCACAAAATTCAGGTCCGAGCAATCAGTGGAGTGAACTTAGGGCAACGACCTACTTTTCTTTCTTTTCTTTTTTTGTTTTCTTAAATTAAGTTTTATCTACTAACACAATCAGTAATATTTCCAGAATCATGAGTTTAAATTTTCTGTCTCTAATAGGTTAATCCAATTTCTTTCTCATATTATCAACTCGTGTTTGGTATAGTGATAACAAAGATAACGATTCAATCCCAAATAAATTAAGGTCAGCTATATGAATTTTATTGACTGTGGCTGTGTTTGGTATGAAGAAAATGTTTCTCAATTTTCTATGGTTGACTTAAATGTTTTCAAAAATATTTTTCTTGTGAATCCATTTTCTTCCAATTGGAAGAATATGACTTCCCTACTAAAAGGAGGGAAAATATTTTCCAAAATTCTTTTTCAATATTGACCACACTACTCCCTCCCACCACCATCCCCCATCCCCATCTCCTCCACCTCCACCCTACCCCCACCCCCACCCCTACCACTACCCCTATTCCGCTATCCCCACCAACCCCTTCCTCTTGCCCCCGCCACCCCGCCCCTACTCTTTTTCAATATTGCCCACTGATCACGCCCAACTATGCCTTATAAAAAGGACAAAGCGGTCGTTGCAAATATAATCCGGGTATTTAGCCCAGAGTCGAATTCCACAAGGAATTAACCTACCAATTACTTTTATCAGACTCACTGAATTCTCCGTAATCAACTTCCCAGATATTATGAATAACACTTGGTGATATTTCTACTGACTATAACTGAATAAAATTAAGTAAACTAAAAGCTAACTATGACGGAGTTGTAAACAAATAAGAGAAGGATCTAAGGTTATGATTTCCCCTATTAATGGAATCCCTTCCTGTTATATTTCATATAGATTTGCCTAATCGTCTCTATTGATAATGAGCACTCTTACTACCGTAAATCTCTCCCGAGTAATTACGACAATTTACCAGACGCACTCTCCAAAGTTACGCTAGCTGGCTTTTATTACAGCTCACTTAGATCGCACCCAAGATTTCGTTATCCCTAATCCCACCTTTAAACCCTCGGTTATTGATTCCTCATATACTTTGGGAGTGGTATTGTTCAATAACTACCTAAATATGCAATCTCTCCCGAGTAATACATATTAAATAGGCACAGCTAATTGAGGATCCTATCAACTAACTACAACAAGAACGTAGTTGAACAAATAGAGATTAAACTGGGCAAACTATATTAACACAACAAGAAGTTCATCCTTCAACAGGTTCCATCAAAACCTTAGACTAAATAATTAGCTACTCATAATTGTGTTCATAATAACAACAGCAAAATTCATCATGAATGATAAAAACAAAAGGAAGAAAGGTAGAACTCGATGCCGAATTATCCTCCTTGCCTCTTGCCTCTTCTTCCATTGAACAAAACTATAAAAACCTTGATATCATCTTTTTGGGCGAGCTGGACCTCTTATAGGTTAAGTGGAATTGCCCCCAAACTTCCAAGTTTACCCCTAAAATTTCCGCGTTTCGGAGTGACTAGCGCGGCCGCGCTCGAACCGCGCTAGTGGCCGCACAAATGGCGTTCTACACTGTCCCGTTTCTTCTGCTCTAGCGTGGCCGCGCTAAGGCTGCGGTTGGCCCACTCTAGAGTGGATCAGCTATTTATCTCCTCTTTTCTTTCTTCTTTCACACGTACTCAACTCCGAGGGGCTTTCCTTGCTTTAATTTAGCTCCAAACACTGTCCTAAGTCCTCATAAGCACGACTTGCTCCTGCAAAACATAAAATTCACAATTAGAGCCATTTTATCGTCATTTAACCTTCCTAGAACAGTGAAGCATAGTCAAGTTGGAGCATAAATAGTCGCCAAACTACATGAATCTAGCCTACTATCACCCACACTACTCCCTCCCACCACCATCCCCCCATCCCTATCTCCTCCTACCCTAACCCCACCCCCACCCCCACCACTACCCCTATCCCGCCATCCCCACCAACCCCTTCCCCTTGCCACCGCCACCCCACCCCTAGGCCTCGACCTACCACCCTCGCCTGCCCTTTATCAATTTCGTCTCCCATAATATGTGCCTAGATTATATATTATATTTTCTCCTACCTAATCAAACACCAGAAAATATAAGTAAGAAAATCACTTATTTTCAAAGAATATATTTTACAGGAAAATATTTTTCATACCAAACACACTCTATATGTATTAAAAATATTATTGACATATATGTGTGCACTATATATATATATATATATATAGCAAAGTCAAGAATAATATATAAAATATAATTTTTCGACCGATAATTAATTGACCTCCTTTAAACATACGAAACTCTGTAGTGTATAAAAGTTAAATTTATTGAAGTGTATCAAATGAAATGCCAATTCAAATAACTTTGGGGTATTTTTAGCCTGCGGTAGAAACTATTTATATTCGGTAGCCGAAAATATGTATAATTTTTGTATATAACGTACAAAATGTATATATCTATAAAAAAATATATAATTTTTCGGCTATTATTTTAAGAACGATTATATAGTGTCATTTTTCTCTCCCCATTTGCAGGCCTAAAAAGAAAATGTGGTGTTAGATGTAAGTAAATAAGTAATTTAAGCAATGTGAAAGTTGAAAAGTCTTGGCAAGTTTTGGGTAAAAATTGTGTGGGGTAGCCATTTTTTAAAGTGGTATTTACTTTTTATCCAGTATTTTTAATGCTTAGCAATAGTAGCCACTAGTCTATTAAAATTAATATGAAAAGACTGTATTACCCTTTATTCTATCTCTTTCATGTGTCGAGTTAGGTTACTGCGTCGAGTTAGAGGACTACTCAAGCAGGCACGCCTCCCATCTGATAAATTCATTCTTATCCAGTTTCCAGTCAGCAAGACATATTAAGTTACATGGGATCATAATCGCTCCAACTGCAGTGTTGGAGAATATATACTAACTTTAAAGGAGGTGTAGTTGAAAGAACCAGTAATTGATAAAGAGTACTAATTTATATTTTAAAAATGAATTGCATACTACTGACTTTGGAAAGCCAAACTTTGAACAGAATTAAGTTATTATATTCGAGATGTGAAACTTTTTCCTGTATGAAAATTTCACTTAGATAAAAGGCAGTCCTTAACTTACAGTTACAAGTTCTAAAGTTAAGGACAGGCAGTCCTTAACTTATAGTTACAAGTTCAAAAGTTAAGGACAGGCAGTCCTTAACTTACAGTTACAAGTTCAAAAGTTAAGGACAATAGGTCCTTAACTTTGATTTCCAAGTTCAAAAGTTAAGGACGGACAGTCCATAACTTACAGTTACACGTTCAAAAGTTAAGGACAAGCAGTCCTTAACTTACAGTTACAAGTTCAAAAGTTAAGGACAATAGGTCCTTAACTTTGACTTACAAGTTCAAAAGTTAAGGACGCTTGGTCCTGAAGTTTGAGTTCCAAGTTCAAAAGTTAAGGACATGTAGCCCTGAAGTCCTGAACTTAGAGTTACAAGTTCAAAAGTTAAGAACATGTAGTCCTGAAGTCCTGAACTTAGAGTTACAGGTTCAAAAGTTAAGGACATGTAGTCCTGAAGTGTTGAACTTAGAGTTCCAAGTTCAAAAGTTAAGGACATGTAGTCCTGAAGTCCTGAAGTTAAGTACATGAGCAGAAGGGTATTTTCGTCTGGGCAGTTAAAGTTTATTAAAGCAGTGGCTAAAGACTAAAGACATTTTAAATAGTGGCTTAAAAGTAAATACATATGCTATTAGTGGCTAATCGTGCACTTCCCCAAGTTTTGGTTGGGCCTCACACTTATCTTCTTTGTTGACCTTTCTTAACTGAACTTATACAATATCGTTGACCTTTCTCTTCTGCATATCTGTAGACATTTCAAATACATATGTATGCAGAAACTACCAATGACCACGTTGTCTTCACACGATTTTAAGGCCACTTTTTCTTTTCTTTCTGTAGTTTATCGTGGGAGTTTCCTTTTGTCATTTTCTTTTTTCGTATTCCACCGAGTAAAAATTGTTTTCTTCATAATTTAATAGGTACATTATATATTTGGCCGGTTGGTCAAAAAATAATAACATTCGCTAATTAAATATAAAAAATATTTTATCGGTTATTATTTTTGAAAGCGATTATACCGTGTAATTTTCCTAGTTTAATTAGTATTTGTTGTTTTGGTTTTGTGATTTTCAAGTAAAGTTGAAGTTTGTGTTTTTCAAGCAAAGCTACAATTTAATACTACTAAATTAAGGCAAGCTACTTTAATTAAAACTGAGTGGGTGTTTAGCTCTAATTTCAAGTGTTTTGTGCTTTTACTTAACCCTTCACCAAATAAATTGGAAACCAAACCAACTAGTTAAAGCATTCAATCATCAAATTATAATCCCATCAACAAAACCAAACTAAATTAACTACTCCATCAAATGTACTAATTTTCACTTGTTTGGTAACAAAAAAGATACTACTCCATAAAAGATAAATAAACAGAACTGCTAGTTGAAAATGAACTACTACCGTATTCGCCGGCAGACGTCGAAACGTTAATAATTACTTATCAATTAAGGTTCAAGACACACTTACAAATTATTTTTGTTCATTTATTCTGATAGTATAGTAATTACTTTTCTGTTTCATTGAATACAAGGAGGCTAAGCAGATGGTAGTTGGCTCCCTGGCATGTAAAAAAAAACCGAAAAACTAAATTAATTCAATTTAATATGAAATGAATTTTTAAAAACCATACTAACGTGAAAAAAGAGCCCCTTAGCTTGCTTCCATAATATAAAGCTTCCCTCTAAAAGACGTTACATTGAATCCTCCTCCATTTTAATATTCTAAGTAAATAACATTTATCATTTTATTTTTGTTTGCAATAAATTTTCTTAGAGTAGAAAATTAAATGCAATCACAATACATAGAAAATTAAATGCAATCACAATACAAATATGAAGAAACATAATTTTATTGATAAATAATTGTGGGTACAATTCTGTTTCTCCCTTGATTCTTCTCTCCTGATTATCTCCGTGATTCGAGGGCTAGAATAGCGTGTTTCTCGAACGTAGAATGATGCAAACCTTCATGGGATGTATTTGACCTCCATGAAATTATGTTTATCCGGCCGCATCTTGATCTCTTTGTGATATCCCATGAGTTTATGGGATTTTCGAGATGATCTCCATTTTTTGAGATGCCGTTTTAAGAGAATACGTTACCCTTTTTATAGGAATGACCTAGGGTTAGGATAGAGTAGCCTCCAATGCTGGGTTTTAGTAGAGTAGCCTCCAAGCAATACTGACAGACTCCTAGAATTTCAAGAGGTCTTATAGTATCTTGAATTTAGGATTTAGCTTGATCCATTAAAATTTAGATGTCTACAATTTTCTCTTACAATAATATTTATTTGGTTTTAGTTTATAATTAACATGCTTCTACTTTAGGATGGCCAAAGTATCTTACACCATTCTATTTTTAAACAAAATTTTCGAATTTTTAAATATTTAACATCACTTAATTACTACTAATATATAAAAAAAATGGCAGCGCAGTGCACTAAGCTCCCGCTATGCGTGGGGTCCGAGGAAGGGTCAGACCCCAAGGGTCTATCGTACGCAGCCTTACCCTGCATTTAAGTTAAATTAATATTTAAATATCATATCCAATCAAATATAATCACATAATAAAATTGGAGAATATTATTTAATTTAACTCAAAAAGAAAAGAGTAAGAAATTTTAATCTACTAGCTAACTAGTCTATGAAAATTACGTATAAATGGAATTATAGTAGTAGTACTAAACTAAAAGCAGTAGCCGAATACCCCCTTTCTTTTTTCCCCAATACGCGTTTACCTTTCTGCATATTTGCAGCAGCAGCGTCGGTAGTCTTCTAAACTCCCTTCTCTTTTTTTCTCTACTCCGGCGTACCCTTTTTATTCAATTTGCTGTACACATTTTATATACCCAAAAAAAAAAAAAAATTACTACGTAAGGAGGTTGCTTTTATTTCTTTGTTCAAGTGTTGTTGTCAACATATCTCTGTTGATGAAATTTGAATCAGATCCATACATGTTGAGATCTTAAATTCTTGATATACTTTTTGGGTATAAAATTTGTTTCTGGAGGTTCTGGGTCACAGAAAATAGGCGAATCTTGGATTGCAATGAAGACAACAGGGAGATTCTTCACGATTGGGCTAGTAACATCATGGTATTCGTCGAACATTGGGGTTTTGTTGCTGAACAAGTATTTGCTAAGCAATTATGGGTTCAAATATCCAATATTTCTTACCATGTGTCATATGACTGCTTGTTCTTTGCTAAGTTATATAGCCATTGCTTGGATGAAAATGGTGCCAATGCAGACTATAAGATCTAGGGTTCAGTTCTTGAAGATCTCTGCTTTGAGTGCTATATTTTGTGCCTCTGTTGTTAGTGGCAATATCTCCCTTAGGTATTTGCCTGTGTCCTTCAATCAGGCTATTGGTGCTACCACTCCCTTTTTCACTGCTGTATTTGCTTACCTAATGACGTTCAAGAGGGAGGCTTGGTTGACTTATGTCACTCTCATTCCTGTTGTCACTGGGGTTATCATTGCCAGCGGGGTATGCTTTTCTTCTCTCTCAGTGTTACTTGAATTGTGGTGCTATAGTTAATTAATTCGGTCTCTTGTGGTTGATTTAATTAGTTAGAGTTCAAGCTTATACCCCATTTTAAGAAAATTGCATATTTGCTGTTGCAATGATAAGGTGTAAGATGAATACATGTTTTTGAGTGAAATAATGTGGTAATATTTCTAAGTTAGTCGGGTGTATTTTGTCAATGCTTGATTCAATACAGGATCTTGCTGCACATTGGATTGTTAATAGGTACTAAGTGTTTAAGTTGTGCCAAAAAATGTATTTGTGAGCTAGACTTGTTGAAAAAGCTGATTTGGATTTTGTATGACTAACTTGTATTGACACTTTAGTGCTGCGGATGGAATCTTTCTTACGACTAATTTATTTTAGTTTATCTTCTCAGGGAGAGCCAAGTTTTCATCTATTTGGGTTTATAATGTGTATCGGCGCGACTGCTGCAAGGGCACTCAAGTCAGTGGTTCAGGGAATTTTGCTTTCCTCTGAAGGGTATTGACGCTGTTTTTGTGTTTCAATAAATATGTAGTCAAATTCTGTGCTCTTCATTATGGTCAATCTGGAGATAGGATAGGATGCTGAATTGTTTTGCGTTTACGTATTACAGGGAGAAGCTGAATTCCATGAACCTTCTACTCTATATGGCTCCTATAGCAGTCGTACTTTTATTACCTGCAACGCTCTTGATGGAAGATAATGTAGTTGGTATAACATTGGCACTTGCAAGAGATGATATAAAAATCATCTGGTTGTTGCTGTTCAATTCTGCCCTTGCTTATTTTGTTAATTTGACCAATTTTCTGGTCACAAAACACACCAGTGCTCTGACTCTTCAGGTAAATTTTCTTGATTCTCCGTTCAAGATATATTTAAGATGAGTTCTTGGATTTTTGGTCTTATCAGTTTAGATTATGCTTATTTTGAAATCCGATATCAGTACTGCTTTCAGATCTTGAAAAGTGAAAGGGGATAAATTTATACTGTCTTTTTGCTTTTGCCTGGAATGATTCATCTTTGAATTTTATCGAAGAGCTATTTTACTTATTTGAAAATCCTACGCATTTTCCTCTCTTTTGTCAAATACAGCTCCTATCTCACATAATGTTTGAATTTTGAAGCACTTCTAAACTTTTTTTGAGTTATTGAATTCAATATGGTTGGAGTGTTTCTTCTATCCTAGTATGCTGTATGCGTGGAACTTCAATATTTGAAGCTATGATCTCTTTTGGATTTCTTAAGATTGTGGATTTGTTTGTTATGCTGAAATTTTTGTGATTTCTGTAACACCATGATTTCTTTTAAGCTTTAATATTTATGTGAATTAGCATGGGATTTAAGCTTCTCCTGATTCTCATAGAAACCAAATAAGTGAAGTATGATGCTGGTGAATCAAACTTGTAAGACTTAGACATGTGCAAGTAAAGTATGTATTATATCAGCATAATATTACGACTCCAACTGAAGTTTGGGGAGGAGTAGATGTAGTCATGCTTAGCCTTACATACTTTTTTTGAGGAATCAATTGACAGACCTATTTTTGAGAAGAATAAGTTTTGTATTGGAAGACTCAGCCTCTTACTATTGAGTAGGGATTGAGATGTCATAAACTATGAAGAGGAGTCCAACTTGGGTATTTAGTCCTCCGTACCAATATGACGCTCCCCTACATCTAGCATGTTGATTCCGTTCCACGAATACAATCATCTTTCATTAGCAAATAGATTAAGTAATAGAGTTTAAATGATATCAATGTTAGGTTTTGAGGTTGGTTGATAAGCATACTAAGTATTCTGAGTGGTATAATTTGTTCTGAGGTAGTCACATCGGGGCTTACACCTTTTACCAAATGGTTTTGCCATGGCTAACTCCGCCTAAGAAAATGGTTGTTGTTTATTGGTAATTTGGGAATGCAAGTTTATTTTTAGCAAGAAAAGTCTAGCTGGATGTAAAATTTTATGATTGTATCACATATACTAAGATATTTGCCTGACAATTTTGTGATAACATGGAAAAGAAAGAAAAATGGACCTTCAAACTTGCAGCTAAGGTATTTAATATTGGAGTATCTTCTCAAGACGGTGACTTTTCCCTTTAAAGAAAGGGGTCATGCAATCCCCCACCCCCCACCCCCCACCCCCACCCCCCAAAAAAATAAAAATAAATAAAAGAACCCCAAAAGAAAAAAATGAAAAAAGGGAAAGGAAGAAGAGAAAGTTCATTTTTTGGATAGACTTGAAACAGTATTCGGTTAAAACTATATTGGAATCAAGAATAAATCCTTCAATAGAGTGGCCTACTTATATTCTTGTCCCTCTATCATTATTATGTTTTTGGCATTTGTTTCCAGTGGGTTTTGAAGTTTATTTCCATTACCGTTTTCTTTTGGGTTTAGGATTATGAAGAGATGTTTCGTTTTTCCTGGATCTCCTTCATAGGTGTTATGTCTAACAGAATTTCACTGTTTCACAGGTCCTGGGAAATGCAAAAGGTGCTGTAGCTGTTGTTGTCTCAATCTTAATATTTAAGAATCCAGTGTCAGTTATAGGGATGCTTGGCTACACACTCACAGTTTTCGGAGTAATACTCTATAGTGAAGCAAAGAAACGTAGTAAGTGAAATATGAACCTGGAAAAGCATCAACCACGACTTTGATATCAATTGATGTTCAAGGAAAGTCAAGCGCTTGCAGTTGGTATCTAGGAATTTTTCCCTCATTTATTTTTTGCCAGGTAACATGGGAAACAAGATTCAATCTGTACCCGGGAAGAGCCAGAGTAGCCTGAATAGATCCGTAATAAGTGACTTAATTTGTCTATACATTCTTCCCACCATAGGGTTAAGAATGAAAGATCTTTTTATCTTTATTCTTTGAGGAAACTGTTGACTAAGACTACATTATATGTTACTGTAGTTATCATGATGAGATTTATAAATTGGAAGGAAGTGAAATTTAGAAATATGTAAATCGTTTCTCCTTTATGTTGAAAAAGAAATGATTTTTGAAAGGACTATGTTTGAGATGTTTGCCTAGTGATTATAGTTCTCTAATATGTATGAAATCCAGATTGTGCTAAAAGTATGTATAGCGCTTACTTTGGTGTCTATAATTGAGCACGGTTCCAACTTGTTTATGCCTTTCTACAAAAAGCATTTCAGAAAATAACCAACTGAGATTTGTAATTCCAACAACTGCTGAATTTGAAATGGTCAGGCACTCCACATTTTGCCTGTTTCTAAAGAACCCATCTTCACATCCAGGTGTTGCAATATATTGGTAAAAGAATTTTTATTATGATGAATCCTGTAAGTACTAAAAAATGGAATGGATACATAGAATTCATATAACTAATCAATAGTAATTTGGATGTAAGGAGGTTGTTTGAGTGATAGTAAAATTGAAATTTGGATACTGAATAAATATCCATAACCATTTACACCTAACTACTAAATTTCACCATAAGCTTGTATAATTGTATGAGCTGTAGGCTTAACTTGAAGAAGAGGCTTGCTTTCAGAATTTCAGGATCCGCCTTAAATTGTCACTTGCCTTGCCTTTCTTTGTAAAGGAGTTGTGTACTTCAGTGCAGCACTCAAGCTTACATGTTACTCTATTTCTAATTTTCTATTACTTGTGTTTAAGGTTTTAGTTTGCTCGGAGTTTTTTTTATTTTGTTAGAGAATCTAAAACTTCAATTATTAAATTGATACGCATCTAAATGGTGCAACTAGCTTGGTGCAGTTTGTTTATGTTATCTTTTTGCACTAAGAATAGGTTGGTTTTAGCATTCATACTCTAAACTCTTTCTTTTTTTTACCGTCTGTTGTAATCTTTTCAAGTACTGGTTTTCATTATCTATTTTTAAGGAGAAAAAAAGACATGCCACTAAACCTAAGGAAAGACGTGACATCTTTTATAGCAAAGTTTAATACTAACATATCTAGAAATATCCCAATTTGCTAAAACGTAGGCAGAAAATACAGAAGCAAAAAAACAGATGGAGGAATAGCATACAAGGCCTTTCAGAAATCCATCGTCAGCTTTCACGGTGACAATATCATCGTTAGTTCAAACATTCTCATCCTAATCTATCTTTTCCCTTTTTTGTTCCTTCTTTTTTTTTTGTTTTTTTTGTTTTTGGTTTTTGGTTTTCTTATTCAAAATGCTCCTGATGAAAATTTATGTAAAAGATATAATATCATACATTTATTTATTTGGTACAAACACCGACTGTAAATTCATATCCAATGGACCTGTTTTTGTGACAGGAAAGGGCGAATCAGCACCTAAGCAGAAGCCAAATATAAGAAGAGCAACAGAAGAATACCAAGTAACAACACTTTTATGTATCACACAATTAGCTCCTGCCAAAGATCAATTGATAGGGGCAGGAATTTCAACATCCAAAAGTTAAATGATACAATAAATCAGGATAACAGGCTTCACGATGGTCGAACATATATAAACCAGTAACCCAAAATGATGGGGTTACCAGCTAATGAACAAAGAAAGCGCAAGAAACACACTCAAAAATATCAAGTCCATGTGAATGGATACAGTAGTTGACTGAAACATGGAGTTTAAGAATCTGGAACGGTTGCAGCTGGACGTTTCATAGAGGCAGACTTGATCAAATGATTGTAGCTGCCTTTCTCCTTGAAAAGCTGTGAAAAATGAGGTTTGCAGTATAAAATCCCATTTAGGGCGGCATAATTCGAAGGAGATAAAGAGCATCCACCGTGACAACACTTGAAACATGTCTTATGATAACTTTGGTTCTCCACTGTCACCTAATCAAATGCAACCAACACATAGATTAATCCCAGAAATTGAAAGAAAAAGTAACAACCTACAGTAAATGTTGGATAACCCCTCCATGTTTTAATGCTAGAGACAATACTCAGTAGACCAGGTCAATTGTTGCAAACAAATTAATATTTATATTTTCCTTCTTAAAAATATTTAAAACAAGGAGGAATGCTAAACTCAGAATCTGTGGGCTAGAAGTAGGTCACCAATGTATTGTTCACTTACATATAACTTCAGCATCAAAGATGATGATTTTCAGAAATCATCTCCAAGATGACAAGAACATAAATCATAAATCAAGAGAAATAACTACTTGCTGGACAAGAGAATGTATGGAAGCATTAGACAGCTCAACTATTTTTCTTGCGTCATATCACATTCTGATTGAAAGACTAACTCTTCATGCAAATTAAATTTCTTAGCTGCATTACAACTTCAAAGGTGGACATTCACCATTGTGTGGCAACTGGCAACTGAGAATTACCTAAAAAATATGGTAGCAATATAACACGTGATCTGCCTCAAAATTTCAGAGTTGGCATTCACTAGAATGTGCAAAAATGGAAAAGATTGGTAGAGTACTAGATGACTGGAGGAGGGAGAGTAAGATGCAAAATGCTCAAACTCGCCAATTTGCACAGCAAGTCAGTTTTAACGACTATCACGGCCGAACTATTAACAGTCAATTTGCGACTGAAAAAGAATAGATCTTTGTAAAGCAATGGATTGGTCTCAGCATACAACTTCCAGAGGTGGCGGATACCATGCACAACATCAATAGGAAACACTGAAGACTCTTTAAGAAGAAGATCATGGCAGCGATATATGGAGCGGGAATCCATCAAATATGGCAAGCACGAAACTGGAAACATTTTAGAGGACATAGTGTAAATAATAGTTTTGTTTTGCAGCAAATACAAAGTGTAATAAGGGAGAGAATTGATATGTTGAGGGAACCTAAGGAAGCCAGGAAAACCAGATTTCTAATTGATAGGATATGTAGCTAGTAGTTTTTTTTTTTTTTTTTTTTGAGAGAGGTGTTCCGAGGCTCAATTACTGGTTCTATAACAGTATTGAGTGCTCTTTCTGTGTAAATTGATGGTTGGTTGTCTGGTAATATATTCACATCTTATTACCCCCAAAAAAAAAAAGAATAGATCTTTGTGGACTTCAGTTTATGCCAACTTTATACCATTTGTAAGATCAATCGTATCGTGTTAACCAACAAATGTGCCGTAAATACCCACAAAATACAAGCTCTTGAATTTCTCAATAGAGTTCATTTACATATATTTCACATATATCACCAGAATGCATAACAGATATTAGAGAGTAAAACGTAGATTTGAGGCACAAGAAAGTTCAACCAACTTAATGTCTTTTAGCTGTCTTACTCTCCTTTATATCATCTTAAACTCATACTAAAACCTCGTGCAGCAAGACGGTTATGTATAAAATTTAAAAGTAGAAGGTTGTCCCTGCTCTCTAAATGAACATTGCTTGTGCACTTTCACATTGGAAAGCTACTTAAACGCTATTTGAGCTTTCACGCGCCACTGAAAATTAGTTACGTTCTGACAATGCTAAATCCACAGCAGGAATTTGATGACACCATTGCCACAGACAAGCAACTTATTGATGCATCAAATGAGTGAAATGGGCAACCGCCTTTTCCCAATTGAAGTTCCAGAATAGGAACTTACAGCAAAAAGAAGAATGCAACAGTTTGCTTTTCAACAGAGACATCATGGCTAGGGAAAGTTGAGGAGCCATTTTTTACCTTCTCAAGTGGGTAAGCTGTTTTACCACAAGTTGCACATTTTTCCTGCGTGCCAGAAAACATGCCAGCAGCTTTACTAGGCGACCTTGTCTGCATAACAAAACAAGAAAGGAGTATGAGGCATGGTTTGTTCTTTTTCAGTTTGTTAATTTTATACACAAGTAGATGCAAAGAAAATTTACCAGCTCAGGAGTTAACTTCTCAGCTGACTTCGCAGCTGTGAAAGTAAAATACATTCGATATTATAAATAAAGCAGATCAGTTATATAACTGGAGAAAGAACTTTAACTAAGCAAGAATATATAGACGTACGTGACTGAAAGTTCTTATTGAAGTTGCCCGACTCCTTGAAAAGCTGCTCAAAATGGGGCTTGCAATACAGAACACCTTCCATTGAGGAGAAATTGCTCAGCTAACAAAAAGTTCACAAATACATAACATCAGTCAATTGAGTCTAAACACCATTATTCTTTTCATATGGAATTATTCAAATCTTTATCTTCTTCTTTTCGGATAATTTTAAACTATTCAAATCTTGGGTACAGTTTCCTCAATGCTTGACCTCGTCCAATTGTCAATGCTCAAAGTACAACTACCAATGCAGTATGATCCAACATGGAGATATTTTTCCTTTTTTAGGATAGTATTTGTGAATCAAGACAAGTTTACTCTTTTTCCAATTTCACAACTTTAAGACTAATACTTTATGCACAAAAAGCAAACAACATAAAGTGAAAACCAGATTGTAGTTTATATAAGTATAGCAAAAGCACCTTAAGTGTTCCTTTGCAATGGCTGCATTTAAAGCAAGACTTGTGATAATTAACCCCATCAGCTGACAACAGCTCCACCGGGTAAACTGTCTTTTCACAGGCCTTGCATTTCTGTTGTGTTCCAATAAAAGACATACTTCTTCTAATGACAAATAAAACTCTAGATCTTCCTTTTTCCCAGCTCAGATTCGACTCTGTAGATGCAAAAAAGACTCGGTCTTTCATATATTTACAATCAATTTCAAGAATATACACCGATCTGATGTAAAAACAAATTGGGTATCAGTACTTTACCATCAAATCGCCTAACACATTTTTTTCTTGGGTTCTAGAAAAATTAGTTTCTAAAAAGTGATCTTGAGCTTTTAGAAAAAGTTAGTAAAGTCAAAAATACATACCTTGAAGTTGTTGATCTACAAGCCTGTCACAAAAAATTGATGTTATGATCAAAGTCAAGTTGATAAAGTGAAGGAGAAATTGGGAGGATTTTAAAATTCTGGGTTCATATGAAATAGTAGGAAATTCTTTGACATATATTTATGTGGGAGGGGTTGGGTCGGGGTGGGGTGGGTTGGAATTTGAGCAGAGGCAACGAAGTGGATGATGATGATGTGGGGCAATTGGAAGGCAAAAAAGGACACAAGTATCTTTTGCTGGAATATGTAAAATTTAGTTCAATGTTT